TATTTTTCCACAGAATGGCCATAATTTAATTTGATTTCATCCTAGTGATTCATAACCTGTAAACATCAGACTCTCTTCCAAGCCCTGAACCTGACATGAGGGGACTAAGAAAGACTAAATCAAGATCTAAACGCACGGAGTGCTTCCTGCTGAGGAAGGCTAGCGTTTTGTATTTACATGCCAAGATGTCCTTTGTGCTGGGATACATCCTCATTACAAAGAGAAAATCTTGAATCTGAGAATATAAATAGACTTCCACAGGAGAAAGTAGTCACAAATAAATAGGTACAATATACGTTTGAACCATTTCAGAATAGGAATTGATCATAACCATAACACATATTTCATCATACTCAGCAATAGAACGTCTATACTTAGTAGAAGTAATAGAACCCATACTTAATTACAAGAGAACCTCTATAATCGTTCACCTCCCTACATTGACCACCTCCTGAAGTTGACCTGATTTTCATACACCACACATTTATCATGTGTGCATATCAGTACAATAGGCCTAGTTCCTTACGTTGACCAGGCCTCCACACGTTCACCAGTTTCTTACCTTCCCCTGGGTGGTCAACTTACAGAGGTTCTACTGTCTAGTTATGACTAATTTTTTTTTTTTTGGCCGGGGCTGGGTTTGAACCTGCCACCTCTGGCATATGGGGCCGGCACCCTACGCCTTTGAGTCACAGGTGCCGCCCCTATTTATGACTAATTTTAAAATTACCTTAAGTGCTTTGGTTCCCCATATCTTTCAAACACCAAGTATCAGTAGCAATATTGCTTTGCCAGCATCAATACTGCATAAAATGCTAAGATAATTTCTTTTCAGTTGCCTTGCTTAAACTCACATGTTGAGAAAAGCCTTTAAGTTGCCAGCTATGGGCTTCCACATTCAATGAAAACTCTCCTTTGCATGGAAATGTTAGAAACTATAGTTCAAAATGAATGTGCATCTGCTGTGTGTGAATTACAGTAAAAACTTTATCCCCGAAAGTACATTTCAGAATTTTATATAATATAAAGGTTTTAGCCATATTAAGTCGGCATCAGTTTTGAGGGTGGGGAAAGAAGGGGTCATTTGAAAGCAAATCCCTTTGAAAAATAAAAAATTTTAGTTCAAACGTCAAAATGCACTTTAATGGTGTTTGAGGGGGAAAAAAAAAAAAAACCTCCTTTCATTTGAGCATCGGGAAATGCTAGCTGCTTTTTAGATGACATGAGCCAGCTAATCCAGTGCTTTAGAGGTCCTGCACAAAGTAGTTTATTTTCCCTGTGTGACTTCCCTCAAATCATGTAGATTAGTTCTGATAGCATTCAATCCACGGCAGACCGGGTGGTTGAGAGAGTCAGTGCCCAGACCTGCAGCTGCTGTACCTTGCTTTACTGAAAAGTTTTCGTCAATCCCTTAACCTCTGAGCAGCACATGTGCTACCATCAATAACTAGAGCTACCGGCTGGCCCAGAGCGGCCTGACCAAGGTATTCTCTGTCGCACAAACAGACTTAATCCACGGACTTCTTGGAATATTGAATTAGTTGCCCATGTTTACAAATTAGGAGGATTGATCTAAAAGATTTTGTTTCGAGTGTCCCCTGGAAAAATCCAATTTTTGGACAGCCTTCCCTCCCACCAGGTCAGAAGTGCAGTGGAGATGAACATTAGCTGCTGTAAGAGAAAGTGTCACTGCTGGCTCAACAACTGCCCCAGCTGCCCGGGGCCTCTTCTCCATCTTTCTTGCCCATTGTCCTTCTTTGCGTGCAGTCTGCTCCTCTCCTGTATGTCCTTGCCTGGCCTCTGCGAGCCAGTGAATTTGCAGCCCCTCGGTCAAACCTTTACCTGGTATCACACTTCACCTACACATTCCATTGCGTCTGTCTTTCCCAGAAAAACAAACTGCAAACTTTCCTGCAGAAACTTGCTGTTTTTTTTCAGCCACCACCCTGATGTATCTTCAGTCTCCCCCTCTTAGGGTGACTTTTCATTTCCTCATTTCACTCACACATCCAGGGACATCAGTTCTATCATTTTCTTTCCACAACCAGGATCTTCGAAGAAGAGGGGGAAGCAAAAAAACCATCTCATTTTAACCTTTTGTTAACTCTGAAGTTTTTGCAATTTATCTCACTCATCTTTATTTTAGGACAGGAATTAGGGCCAGTTTATTTTCATAGTACTCTATATTGCCATGGAGTAACAGCCACTTAGGAAATATTTGATGAATGAATGAGTAGCAGTATAAATAATAATCATTATTATTAATGATAATTAATCAATCGCTAACCATGCTCTGTTGGATAAAAACAGGAAACATTTGAACAAAGCAGGATTATACTTACTTACCATGACTCCCCTGACCACTCATTTTTGTATTTCTTCGTATGTCAAGAAATTACCATCACTATTACACAACACCCCAGAAGATCAGTATATTCCATATAAACAAAATCTGTTAGAATGGGTTAATTATTATTATTTTTTTCTCACTTTGTTGCTCTTGGTAGAGTGCTGTGGTGTGGCAGTTCACAGCAACCTCAAACTCTTGGGCTCAAGCAATTCTCTTGTGTCAGTCTCCAGAGTAGCTGGGACTATAGGCACCTGCCACAATGCTCGGCTCTTTTTAGAGACAGGGTCTTGCTCTGGCTCTGGCTGGTCTTGAACCCCTGAGCTCAGGCAGTCCCCCTCCTCAGCCTCCAGAGTGTTAAGATTACAGGCATGAGCTACCGCGCCTGCCCTGAATAAGTTAATTTTTTAATATATTGCTACAGAATGTCACTTCATTGCCACCTGATGCGATAGCTATATTGATGTAAGTCCTTCTACTTCTGTTTCAACCGGGGCTGATATGCACAGTAAAGAATAAGTAGCAAGACTCTGCTCCAAGACCTGACAGGAATAATTCTATACTGTTGATATGAGATTTCAGTTAGAGAATTCAAGTATGTCTGCTCACTCAAGTGAATTAATAACTAATAATAATTACAAGGAAATGTAACTGTACAAATTTTCTTACCGTGTTGTCCCAGGTGAATTTGCTAACTGATAGCATAAGCAGACATGTATGCACAAGGTGTATAAAGTAACATCTAAATAGTCAAAGTTGCTGTGACTAAAACCATGCATGTATAGTAAATGTCTAATAAAACTGAATGTATTTTAGGGCAGTGCCTGTGGCTCAAAGGAGTAGGGCACTGGCCCCATATGCCGGAGGTGGTAGGTTCAAACACAGCCTGTGCCAAAAAAAAAAAAAAAAAAAAGAATATATTTTATCATATGTTAAATTATGAAATGTATTTGTCAAGTGTGTAAAATGGTGACTTCTCTAGGTCACACCTACCAGTTTCTTGTCCTTTATAAACATAGTCATTAGAAGTTTTCTCTATAGTGGTGTACAAAAACAGTAAATTAACTTTTATCACTAAAATTCTGTTTTGTTTTGTTTTGTTTTATTTTACAGCACTCTCAACAATAACAACATTACGAGACTTTCTGTGGCAAGTTTCAACCATATGCCTAAACTTAGGACTTTGTAAGTAGTCCCAAGATACGGAAAGGTCATCTCAATTAAGCATTCCCTTAAATATCAGTTTTCTGAGCAAAGAAAAGGACCACCAGTTGATGAGGTAGATAAAGAAGGCACAACCTTAGAAAGTCCTAGATATGATATTTGAGGACACGAACTACTATTCTGGAAAGGGGAAAGCATTCTTTTAAATAATATAGGCATTGTGGGAAGTTTGGAGTAAAGAAAAAAAACATTTACTTTGAGCTATCATGGAGGTCACATTTCATTAAGAAATGGAAGACTCCTTGATTGGCTGTCAGAAATGATAAATGGGAAATCCTTATGATTTTATGACTGCACTGCAGGCAGACCTAATAAAGCTAAACTGGTTCTCCTGAGTTCTTTGTAACATAAAATTACAGAATCACCCTCTAGTGCTTCTATAATTAAGGCTGTGTCAGCATTTAAATTTGAAAATATCTTTTGGGGGGTTACAGATGGACATTAAGATAGTTTTGGTGAATAAAAATGATTCTCTAATAGAATACTGGCTACTGCTATTTCTTTTTTTTTTTTTCTCTTGAACAATAAGTAACCGTTTAAGCCCAGAGTGGGGGTATTTAGTCATAGCATTTTTTAGGAGTAAAGCTAACCTGAACTGAGTTTCAGAATCACCTTAACCTAAAAAATATGTTACATACATAAGAGGCATGATTGGAAACAAAACCAAAACATCAGACTTCTTGAAAAAAAATGTGTTTTTAACTAGGGCAAATATACTTTGGATCTTCAAAATATTTGTCACTTTATAACAGCTTAGCACTGCAGCACATTATATTTATTTTCTTTAATTAATAAAAAGATGAATTGAATGACCAGCTTCTTAATGAATTCAGCAATGCCAATCTTAATGCCATTTTTTCTTCACTAAAATCTCACTTTGTATGTAAAAGCACATCATTATAATTCCCTTAGAGCACGGCTTACCAAAATGAAAGAATTCAAAAAGTATTCAGACACAACTAAATTGGGGGGTTTTTTAGAACTGTGGAATTGAGACTAATCTATATTAAGAATCCAGTCCCCTCAGACTATAATTTTCCATTAATGTTAGGTAATTTTTTTAAATAAATTGATCAAGCTTATGATCTTTGAAACAATAAAGTCACTGGAACTGGAAAAGCATCCATCATCTGAAATTTTAATAAGGTCCCGTATTTTTTTTTATAGAAATCCACTAGTTTGTTTTATTAATCTGGTTTTAAAATTTTTATTCTTTCTCTCATTTCAATTTGTGCATATCTAATTGGAGTTTTGTCCTTGCTTTACACAGAAACACTTAGAGAATAAGGCTATAGAATGTTTCCTTTACACAGACACACTTAGAGAATAAGGCTATAGAATGTTTCCAAAGGACGGTATGGTCACTTCCCGATGAACTAATCTGGGGGTCACCCATTTTCCCCCCAAACGTAGCTTTTTGTTCCGTGACATACCTTCTAGCTTTCATGCAAAACGCTCTGTTCTTTAAGTCTCAAGGAGAATGTGAACCTCTCATCTAACTTAGACCTCCTTTGCCTTGGTCGGTTTGTTATTCTATAGTATTATTGCTACTTAAAAATTCCATTTTTATAGTCCAATTATCTTTCTGGACTGCGTTCCATGTTTTAATATCCATTACTGTTATTGGGTTAGAATTGAACACATCAGCTAAAAAGGACTAAAATCGTATTACTGTGTCATAGATGATTCTGGGAATGGTGCTTTGATTTATAGCCTTGGATGTCCTTTTCTTTAGTTTGAGAAAACATAAAAGCCAGTTTGAAGTCATTTACCTAATTTAGTGGATACATTCGTCTGATATTTTATTAATGGAGAAATGCTATTTGCCACTTGGAAGCGATCCATGATCTTGCATGGATCCTGCCAACGTAGAGGGGGCTCACTTAATTCCTTCACTCCCAGCCATTTGTGCCTTTTAATTTCAGTCCTTGCCTTTTGAGCGTAGGCCTCCAGCAGCCAGAGCAGCTAATCCCTTCTCTGTGATCAAACAAAAGAAGGAAATCAGAATAAGGATGTGAAAAGTGTGTTATATTGAATTATTATTCTGTCTCGTTCAGCAAAAATTGAAAGTGACCTCTAAAAAGATTTTGCAAGCCGTTTCTGTAGAGGCTGATAATGGCAAGACTTACTAGTATTTCAGACTGGGAGCCACAGCTTTTATGAACTGGCCCCCTCCCATTGCCTCTGACCCCTACCCCTCACCCACATTGGCTCTTATATGTTGGAACCACAGAGAAATTTGCTTTGGACGAGTATTTTTCTCTTTACTCTTTTGAATGGACATAGGCAAAATAATTTTAGGGTCATTCTCAAGCTTCTGTGTATTTGCTTAACTCAGAGCCAATGAAGAGAGAGTTGATTCTGTGGTCATAAGCCCAGTTAGGTTTTAGGAGGAAAAAACCCCACTGTATGGGAATTTTCTAAGCTCTATGTACTTCTCTGTTAGTAATGAAAGGTAAATATTACTATTAATGAATTATTCAAGTTTGGAATTAACTGCTTTCTGTTTTCTTGCTTTAAACTTCTTTCCTGTCATGCAGCCGACTCCATTCCAACAACCTGTACTGTGACTGTCACCTGGCCTGGCTCTCTGACTGGCTTCGACAGAGGCCTCGGGTTGGCCTGTATACGCAGTGCATGGGCCCCTCCCACCTAAGAGGCCATAATGTAGCTGAGGTTCAAAAACGAGAATTTGTCTGCAGTGGTAAGGAAGAAAGACGGGTTGTGCTTGCCTGCTGTTGTGTGCCGTGATGTAAAGGAGTGTGAGGAGTGCGTGCTTCCAAGTTTCAGTTTTGCACTAATTACCCAGTGAAAATCCTCTTTGTTAGTGACAATAATATTTTCTAAGATATTTGTACACTGGTTGGCAATTACTGAATACCTACATCTAAATTATGATCAAAGATTTTTTCAGGTTTTACTCCAGGGAAAATATAGGAAATTCTTATATTATGATTCTGCTTGTGGCTCATTTTTTTTAACCTTTAAGTAATAATTGTAACTACTTGAGTTAATAATTGAAAAATGCTTAACTCATCTTAGATCCCTGCTGTTAAGTTCAAAGAAAAATGCAACCGTAGTTGTAAACTTTTTGTATATTCCTATACTAATGGATCAATTCTACTTAAAAGTAAATAATGACTCGCTATAGTAACCGAAATCTAAAAACAGAAAGACTGGGTAGTGCCTGTGGCTCAAAGGAGTAGGGCGCTGGCCCCATATACCAGAGGTGGCGAGTTCAAACTCAACCCCGGCCAAAACCTGCAAAAAAGAAACCAAAAAAAAAAAAAGTTGAAAACAGAAAGACAGACATGGGCTATGTCTTAGATCAGTAACTAACATTTACTGAGTTTTTTCATGAGCTTAGGCACCAATCTCAGTATTTCACATATATTTATTGCATTTCACTTCCTTCAGAACATCTGTGTAAAAAAAGGTAATGATATCTCTATATTAGAAATTAAAATGCTGTAAAAAAGTATAACCTTGCCAAAGGTTATATAGCTGAGTTCAAGGATTACAACTTAGGCGTCTGATTCTTTTATATATAAATCTTTTATAAATAAATGTATTTGTATATCAACATTGATATACATGTTTTCTGAATATTGGGCTAGTTGTGCTTCAGAAATGATTTTTCAAAATATAATAAAACAAATTTTTAAAATACAGATAATACATCATAAATAGTTTTAAAAAAAATTGGGGCAGTGCCTGTGGCTCAAAGGAGTAAGGCATCGGCCCCATATGCGGGAGGTGGCGGGTTCAAACCCAGCCCC